CCATGCTGACATTATTATCGGTGTTAATGCTGGTTCCCAAGTAAACGAAATTCTCTACTTTCTCGAAATTGTAACTGTCAACAATGACGTGGGTGCCAAGGCGCGAATGTGCTTTCTGTTTGTTTGATGACAGGAGATACTTCGTCCTGTCCTCGTTTACCGCCAGACCCATTCGATTTGCTTCCTTATCCAACTTGGAAAAGGCAGAACAGACTTCGCAGTTTTTAATACCGAGCGGTTGAGTTCTGCAGCTCTTATTCAGGCCTATCACAGAATCCATCGTAGCTTCGATTTTCGTGAAATCTACAAAATTGCTATCACAGAATCCGAATGGCTACGAACGTAAATTCCAATTTCGTAGAGAGCCTTCATTGAATCCGTTCGTAATGATGATTCGTACAGATACTCTACGATGAGTTTATGCTGTCGGAACAAAAATTAAAATTACTGAATCTTAAAAATAATGGAAAAGAGCTGCATTATTGTTAATCCCCCCTATTATGAATTCGTACGATGCACGATAGACGCTTGCATTCCTTTATTCTCTATGAATCTATGTTGTCGTATGAAATCCGATAGTTAGCGTAGCTGATTTGTGCTGTTTTACAATAAAAAGTGAACAAAAACCACAGCCATTCACAACAATACATCTGTCGGGCGTATGAAAGCGATAATACGAGAACTGATTTCATACAATACGCTTGCAAGCGTTTATCGTCTATCGTATGAAAATTCATAATATGGGGGAATATTAAATATTTATAATACTCTAAATTTGTTATAGTTTGATATAATTCCATATAATAATAATAATAATAAGCCGTCATCGACTCGCCAACAGTTACCGAGTGGCGAAACGAACGAAATTAATGACGTACAAGCAAACTCGCTATCTTCTACTCTAGCTAGCTAACTTTATTGTTGCTTTTACATGCAAAATTTTTCGTTAAGCGACCGGAACTCAAACATAGCAAGCAGCGAAGTGGCGAATCGATGACGGCTATAGATTGGCGNGTTGTCACACAAAGCGGAGGGACCTACAGTTTTACGCCGACTCCGAACGGCGATTGTATTTTTATGAGAAGCTGTTTTTCATGGCAGAAATACACTCGGAGGTTTGCCATTGCCTGCCGAGGGACGACCGCTGTTAAGAAAAAATCTTTTTTCTATTTTCCATATACATATTTTTATAAACATATACGTCAAATGCCAATGCCATACATACATTCATCTGCTAATATCATGAAAATTTATTAAACAAACATGTTTTTCTCATTAAAGTAATAAAATGTAAACTAAAAAAAATAAATGTATTAAAAAAAATAAACAAAAAAAATAATAAAACAAAATAAAAACAAGTAAGAAAGTCTAAGTTCGGGCGGGGCCGAACATTAAATACCCGGCGCAAGTATTACATATATGCCTTTTCACCTTTCCGAAAGCTACCGCTACATGGTAAGCCGGGGTGTATCAATTTTGAATAAATTAGCTTCTATATTTACGGATTTATCGAAGATTTCGTATTTCTCCAAATTACCGTTATATGGGATGTGGGCGTGGTTATTGTCCGATTTTTAAAATTTTCGGCCATTTGGTATCCTGTACCAAGGCCAATAACTGTGCCAAGTTTGGAAGAAATCAGTGCAGCGGTTGCCAAGATATACACATGTAACCCTAAGTGGGCGTGGCTCCGCCCATTTTCAAAAGAATGTTTATATTCTTATTTCTCGTCTAAAAGTTATTGCAAATATCAATTTTGAGTGAATAATCTTCAGTAGTTCCTAAAATATCGTATTTCTGAAAATTACCGTTATATGGGAGGTAGGCGTGGTTATTGTCCGATTTTTAAAATTTTCGGCCATTTGGTATCCTGTACCAAGGCCAATAACTGTGCCAAGTTTGGAAGAAATCAGTGCAGCGGTTGCCAAGATATACACATGTAACCCTAAGTGGGCGTGGCTCCGCCCATTTTCAAAAGAATGTTTATATTCTTATTTCTCGTCTAAAAGTTATTGCAAATATCAATTTTGAGTGAATAATCTTCAGTAGTTCCTAAAATATCGTATTTCTGAAAATTACCGTTATATGGGAGGTAGGCGTGGTTATTGTCCGATTTTTAAAATTTTCGGCCATTTGGTATCCTGTACCAAGGCCAATAACTGTGCCAAGTTTGGAAGAAATCAGTGCAGCGGTTGCCAAGATATACACATGTAACCCTAAGTGGGCGTGGCTCCGCCCATTTTCAAAAGAATGTTTATATTCTTATTTCTCGTCTAAAAGTTATTGCAAATATCAATTTTGAGTGAATAATCTTCAGTAGTTCCTAAAATATCGTATTTCTGAAAATTACCGTTATATGGGAGGTAGGCGTGGTTATTGTCCGATTTTTAAAATTTTCGGCCATTTGGTATCCTGTACCAAGGCCAATAACTGTGCCAAGTTTGGAAGAAATCAGTGCAGCGGTTGCCAAGATATACACATGTAACCATAAGTGGGCGTGGCTCCGCCCATTTTCAAAAGAATGTTTATATTCTTATTTCTCGTCTAAAAGTTATTGCAAATATCAATTTTGAGTGAATAATCTTCAGTAGTTACTAAAATATCGCAGTTTTCGTATTTCTGAAAATTACCGTTATATGGGAGGTAGGCGTGGTTATTGTCCGATTTTGCCCATTTTCAATACCATCCGTCCTACGCCCGAAAGAAGTACACGTACCAAGTTTCGTTAAGATATCTTAATTTTTACTCGAGTTATCGTGTGCACAGACGGACGGACGGACAGACAGACAGTCACCGCTTAATCGATTTCTCTTTTCATTCTGATCATTTATGTATACATTTGTCTATATCTATCTCGATTCGTTTTGCCTGTTACAAACAACCGTTATGTGAACAAAGTTATAATACCCTTGTGCACAAGTGCGCTCGGGTATAAAAAAAATCCGCTGCCCGACGACTCGGACTCGAACTCGGATCTCTGAATTAGCAGTCTAGTGCTTTGCTCACTCGGCCATTGCGACTGCTGGGGCAGCGTGAGCAAAACGGCATACATAGATATCTCTTGCTTTCTTTGCACTAGCTGACTTCGAACCAGCATTCGAAGCTGGCAGCGATATTTTCGAGTTCACTCGGATTCAGTGATAGCAATTTTTTCGTATTCGTAGCAGGCATTCGAATTCGGAGATTTTCTACGATGGATTCCGTGATAGCCCTGATTATCTTCTCCAACATCAGACTAAAGAAGTCACATTAAAGGGAGTCGCCCTGTCTCAGACCCCATTTGGAGGCGAAATCTCAAAAACTTATATATGGAAAAAATACTAAATTTAGGAATCAGCAAGCGATTCTGCATTGGAATTGGATAGTGGCATCCGCTGCGCATTTTCCTTGTAAACCAGTGTTTAAATATAAAAATGTTATGATAATGTTATAAATATAAAAATGTTTGTGTTTTTCTCTTGCTTTCCTTGCTTTATTCCGACACTATGGAAGTTGATTTTTTTTGAAATGTTTTAAGTTTTTATTTTCCTTAACGTATGTATTTAAAAACAAATTAATTTTTGATATTCCAATAATTAGATTTGTGTTATAACGTTAGATAAATAATTATAAATTCCACTTTTCATACTAAAATCCTATGAAAATTCACTATTTTGCTACTATCTCCTTCACTACCAGCGTAATACTTTTCAGCTTTAAATGGATCTGGATCTTGCTTTGGCAACCGAATTTTTGTCTGGCAAATTAATTTTAGTTTCATTAGTACTTAAACAACATCATATTAAATTTTGAGCTTCACTAAAATTATTTGAAAAATAAATTTTTTTTAATAAAAAAATGACGTCTGGCATAATGTTAGCAACAACGGACATGTCTGGCAATAATAAATCTATGTTTCTAAAAGTTAGTTAAAGCCAATGGAAAGAAAATTAGCCTTACTAAAATGACTTAAAAAATTAGCATTTTTAACTGCAAAGACACGAAGCCCACTAGTCAACGCAACCATTACCGCCTGCCAGATGGCCCCCACGCTAACCGAGGGAGTGAAAGAGATGTCATATCAAAAAACCAGCTGTCCTGAAACTCCTGCTCGAAAACGTTGCTGGCTCTTAGACTATAGAGTCTTACAAAACCTTTATAAAACCGATTGGTCTTCACACATAGACAAGAAATATATAACGGTAAGAATGGCTCATATACAGTGGTGAAAAAATAAATAGGGATACGACATTTTAAAAAATGATTCCTATTTTTTTTTTGTTTATTTAATATTTATTATTTTTTTATAAAAGTATACTTCATTATCTAACAAAAACCATATAACTTTAAATTTCAAACTTTGTGCAAAAATTTAAAAATTCTGCAAAATTGCTTATAAATATTCAGCTTTTTAATCAGATTTTAAAGGATTTTTTTGAGTATACATTTTTTTAGCCCATTAAATTTTAGTAGAATAAAGAGCAAGTTTGAAGTTTCTAAAAAATCACGTTAATTTTTGAAAATTTTTTTTCGAAATGTATTATGCACTTCTGCGTAAAAAAATTGCCAAAAATCAACGCGATTTTTTTAGTAACATTAAACTTACACTTTATTCTACCAACATTTAAGGGGCAATAAAACTGCATGCTCAACAAATTTCTAAGAAATCTGATTAAAAAGTTGCAAGTTTGCAGATTTTTCATAATTTTTGCACAAAGTTTGAAATATGAATTTATATGTTTTTGGTAGATAATGGGCTGTACTTGTATAAAATAAAAAATAAATATTAAATAAACAAAAGACAAATAGGAAAAATTTGTTAAAATATCGTGTCCCTATTTATTTTCCCATACTGTATGTATGAAATTTACACAGGCGACGCCTCTAGCCATTGAGGGTCTCAACTTTAAGCTATCGCTGAAGTTTTTTTCGGCCTCCCCCATCGCGAAATCCTGGCTATGCCACTGGTGTAAACTAAAATTACAAAATATTTTTAAACATTTTTTTCTCTGTTATTTTAGGTGATGGCAAAAATATTTGGAAGCGAAGTACAATGGAGACACAAATACAGGTTGCACAAACATCTCTACGCGATAGAATCACGAGCGATAAAATGCCTAAGAAAGTTATAGTAGACTGCATTCAAGAGAAAGCTAAAGATGATTTGGGTTCTCCAGTATACATTTCTTTCAAAGATGGACCGAATCACCATCGCATAAGGATTAAATGTATTTCATGTGACGAAGACAATAAGCCCGGAAACGATATTCAAAAAAGAGACAACAATGAAACTTTGTGATTGTATCTTCGAAGTATACATATGTACATGTGTAGATAAGTGCATACATATATATGTAGATATTACAGCTCGGTTTTTCCTTGATTTGCGTTTGGTTGAATATTATAAGCTCCAACTAAAATTACTGTATATACTAATNCATATGTACATGTGTAGATAAGTGCATACATATATATGTAGATATTACAGTTCGGTTTTTCCTTGATTTGCGTTTGGTTGAATATTATAAGCTCCAACTAAAATTACTGTATATACTAATACATACATACAGTACATAACGCTCATTTACTAAAATACTGTCACAACTTAATAAACGTAATTTGAGCTAATGATGCAGAATTACGCGTTAGACTATGTTCCAATAGGCACCTTATTGGCAATTAAGAACCTTTTCACCAATTTAGGCCTTAATTGTTACACAATTTATCATACGAAAATTCAAATTATTAATTGCCAATTAATAATTAATTGGCAATCAATTTGTGTCAGATTCTCTATGCAACCCTGCTAGGTTGTTTAAATTTGACTTGGAGGTATGTTTATTGAACAAAGAGCAATCAGCTGTTTGTTTCTGGTTCTCTTTTACAGCTGATATTCCATCAGGGATGGAAAATTGAATTATAAAATTGTACCCAGTTTACGGAAACTTTAGCTAAAAGTAGATAAATGTACCTAAAAAGTAAATATGTATTTATATATAAAGAAAAATATAGGTAACAATTACCATCGATGCCATATCAACTTCTGTACTCACATTAAACAAATTTTTGGCTATGAAAATAATCTTTTGGAGCAGCGCGAGACAAAATTATGCTGTAGAAAAAAGGAATCATTTTCCTCCTATTTAGTTGTTCGATCTGAAGTTTTAAAAAAAATATTTTGCATCTATCTGGCGAAGTCAACTACAGTCGCGTTACTTTGACCACCATTCTGTATCATTTGTATGCCTCTTCACAAAGGAGGGAAGCTATTAGACCAGTTGCCCGCACCAGAAAATGCATTGAAATGTCAGTAAAAATAAGAACAGATTTCCTGAGAAGCTATTTGGCTAACTTCCAAATTTATCTAAAATTGTGTGTTTGTACCGAATGTACTTTCAAACTAAATAAAGGTACGATTGTGACAACTTTTCCATCACTGTAAGTAATCCAATAGCTGATTTCGGATCGCTAATTGGGCTGCTGACGTGTGTGTGAACACCGAACTCAATACCGCAATTTAAAGCTTAATTGCCTCAGCTAATTGGCCTGTTTAAACATAGTCTTATATCATGTTTCATATTCACGGTGTCCTTGAACCAGGTTCAACTGTATCGGTCTGGAACGAAGGAATTTCCGATTAGACTATTTTGGCTGGGTGTTCCCGAGTTAGAATACGTGAAATTCAAAATCGTGGCAAGTGCCGATTTCAAAAACGGTAACTTTTTAGGTTTTCAGGTAGGTTTTCGATAAAGTTCTAGATGAATGATTATATATATTTACATATATACAAGTCGATTGTATACACATACATATGTGCAGGTCCGACTATAGGGTGGCGGTGCTTGCCCCGGTCCCGTATTTTTTCTTGAATTTCGTTGGAAGATAAAAATTATAATATTTTGTTAAATTTGATTATTTAATATTCACATAGCTTTTATAATATCCAATAAATGCGAAAGCACATGTCTAGATGCACATGCAAGTGTGGTAAGGTCATTTCCGTGCTAGTCAAAATGACCGCCAATCTGGCCTAATGTGAAATAGAGCTGCAAAACTATCGATAGTGACGCCATTCGATAGTTTGAAGAATACTATCGATATTTTCGATAGTATCGTATACTATCGTGTTATATATGTAGGGAGTCTTCAACTCCGAACAAAATGTGTATAATATGTACATATGTAAATATAAATATTGCACATATGTAAGTATAAATATTACATCCTAACCGTGAAATTCCAAATGTTTTCATTACTTCAATTCACAGCGTTACTTATTGAAGTAAAGATCACTAAATTTTAATGCACCGGCCCTATCGAAAATATCGACTATCGTCCGAAAACAATCGATGTTTTTCCAAAAATAAAACTATCGATACTATCGTTAGTACAATCGATAGTTTTGCAGCTCTAATGTGAAACATAGAAAGGTTCCGAGGTCAACACGCGTTGTCTAAATTTTGTCATCTCAATGATTGTTCCATGGTTAATCAAACATTTTGAGATCGAAATTGCAGAGCGACCTTCAAAGAGATTCGAGGGGAAGATCAGAAATCAACAGAAGACGATTTTCTTGCATACAGCCAATCTGAGCATGGGCGTCGCTACGTAGGGGCAGGGGGGGCTCGAGCCACCCTTTGACTTTGAATTTTACCTTATATGTAGGTATACAATCTTCGATTATTACCGCAGCGACCACAAAAATGCAGTTGCCAATATAGCAACTCAGTTGCCAGCTTGCAGTTGCCATCTGTAAAACCATTTCAGCCAGTGGCCACCCAACCAAAGTTCGGTTGCCATATGCCTAAGTCGACTCAGCTCGATGTTCTGGTCAGATACATAAGGACGCATTTTCATGAGTCTATCTCTTCTTATTATGGTACTTACAAATATCGGGCCAAAGTTAAAATACAATTTCATGCTCATGAAAGGTATAGTATTCAGATTTCAAATCGGTGAAGTAGGTAAAAAAATATAAATTTAAACATTTTCTTTACTTATTCCCGGCGTATCTATTAAAATGTCATTTTCTAGAATTTCATGCATTGTTTTGCTATGTCATTGCATCTCAAACATACTAGGGCTATTCGCGATTCGGTGCATAAGAGCTGACAAATTTATGCAATTGCAGAAATATGCCATGGATTGTGAGCGACCTTTATTAAACTGTCATGGTAAAGCTTTTGCAAAACAATTTTTGTGCATCAGCTTTGGTTTTGTTTATGAATGCAATGCATAGCATTTTTATGCTATCGATTTTCGGTATTGCAAATTTGCCAAGCCATGACAAATGCAAATGCGTGTATTTTGTTTGTGTATTGCAAATAATTTGCAATGCAATGATGCTAGGCCATTTGCACCGGATCGCGAATAGCCCTACTGTTATAGCATGTCATTGCTTCTTAGCTCAGCTGTTGGTTGCTTTTGTGTTTCTGCAGCATATTTTTAATACTGTTTAATCCTGCCTTGTATGAAAATGTATATAGAATTTTAATTAGATAATTGTTTAATAAATTTTACTATAGTAGGAGCTTGCAAAATTCGGAAAATCTCTTGCCGTATATACAATGTAAATAATAATGCTGAATATGTCGCATGTGTTCCTTTTGTTGACATGCATAATTTGATGCATGATTTGATTTGAAATTAATCGGCAGTGTCTTCATATCAAGGTTGTTGTGAATATTCGCATTCGCATTCGCAACCGCGGAGCTTCCGCATTAATTTTAAGATTCGCATTCGCTTTCGCATTCGCAATAATCAATGCGGATCTTTTGCGAATGCGAATATTGGAGGAACCGAAAATAACAGTTTTTTATTACCAGCTAAACTTGGCCAAATATTTTTTATTCCCAATTAAAAGTCTTTTCCGGATAATAAACAAACCGCTTATCCAAATTAAACAAGTTTGGTATCAAACGAAGGAAATGTCTAAACGAGCAAAACAACTCATTGAAAAATATTTCAATAAAAAATGTTAATTAATTACCATAGAAAAAACCTTGGGTCTGGTATATGAATTTATTTAGTATTAAATGATAAGAAAAAATACAAATAGAGTTGGTAACCTTCTTTCGTTATTTCTGCTTAAAAGCTATTTCAGTCACAGAAGAAAGGATTAAAAATGAATTACAAAAACTAAAATCGAAAAACGCGGTTGACGTTACAGGTTCTTCAAATTCAGAAACAACCGAAAGAATGAGAATGAAGAATTCTTTGGAAAACAACGGTGTTTAAACAACGATCTTGCCATGATACAAGATTGTGAAGATGAAAGTTAGGAGGATACATTCGACATTTGGAGCCCGATGCAATTCTCAATAAAGAATTATTGCACGGCAATAAAAAAAATTAATATAACTGAAAGACCTCTCAACTGGTGCTGCGTCAGTCGAAAAGAATTTACAATTTTGTCAAGTTTCAAGTTTTTCAAGATTGTCGCCTCNAATTTGCAATGCAATGATGCTAGGCCATTTGCACCGGATCGCGAATAGCCCTACTGTTATAGCATGTCATTGCTTCTTAGCTCAGCTGTTGGTTGCTTTTGTGTTTCTGCAGCATATTTTTAATACTGTTTAATCCTGCCTTGTATGAAAATGTATATAGAATTTTAATTAGATAATTGTTTAATAAATTTTACTATAGTAGGAGCTTGCAAAATTCGGAAAATCTCTTGCCGTATATACAATGTAAATAATAATGCTGAATATGTCGCATGTGTTCCTTTTGTTGACATGCATAATTTGATGCATGATTTGATTTGAAATTAATCGGCAGTGTCTTCATATCAAGGTTGTTGTGAATATTCGCATTCGCATTCGCAACCGCGGAGCTTCCGCATTAATTTTAAGATTCGCATTCGCTTTCGCATTCGCAATAATCAATGCGGATCTTTTGCGAATGCGAATATTGGAGGAACCGAAAATAACAGTTTTTTATTACCAGCTAAACTTGGCCAAATATTTTTTATTCCCAATTAAAAGTCTTTTCCGGATAATAAACAAACCGCTTATCCAAATTAAACAAGTTTGGTATCAAACGAAGGAAATGTCTAAACGAGCAAAACAACTCATTGAAAAATATTTCAATAAAAAATGTTAATTAATTACCATAGAAAAAACCTTGGGTCTGGTATATGAATTTATTTAGTATTAAATGATAAGAAAAAATACAAATAGAGTTGGTAACCTTCTTTCGTTATTTCTGCTTAAAAGCTATTTCAGTCACAGAAGAAAGGATTAAAAATGAATTACAAAAACTAAAATCGAAAAACGCGGTTGACGTTACAGGTTCTTCAAATTCAGAAACAACCGAAAGAATGAGAATGAAGAATTCTTTGGAAAACAACGGTGTTTAAACAACGATCTTGCCATGATACAAGATTGTGAAGATGAAAGTTAGGAGGATACATTCGACATTTGGA